TATGAACAACGCTAAAAAAATACAGGTTAACAACTAAATAGTTGCCGGACCAATTTTGGCTTATGTGGACTACATTTAGCAGGTAATCTTAAAGCCAAAATCGGTCCGGCGGACCGATTTTGGCCCCGGACCAAATTTTTCCTGACAGGCCTACATTAGGAAAATAGATAGGAAAACATGTTACATTAGCAAAATAGATAGGAAAACATGTTAATTTGAAAATTGCCTCTTGACTTGACCTTCTCATCAGGATGTAATCTATCACTGTTTTTATTGAATCATGGCTAATGATATGGCCAATGAACAACTGTTAGAGAGTGTTGTATTGAATACAGTATGGGAAAAATGTTGGGCACATTTTGATTGAAACTCCAAACTTTCCTCCTACTACAACATAGTGAACTTTCTTATATTTATTTAATCTGTACTTTGTTTTCAGTGAGTGTGAACGTAATACCCTCTGTAATATAGTACAGTAACTGCATGTAATATCATAATAATTTTTATTTTTGAAAAGTAAAAATAAGAACAAAATAACATTTTGATCCTGAAATCAGCAAAAAAAAAAGAACACTGAGCCTGGGTTAAATGTTACTGGTTGTTATGAAAAAAGGTGTAGTAGGCCTATGGCATAATATGCAATAAAATCAAATAATTATAATTGACAAGGAGTATTACTCACATTTTGTTTTTTATTCTTGTATTCTTTTTACCATACTTATTTTGCCTATAAACCACTGGGACTACCCAATGTAGTAAGTAGTCCTCAATGCTTTTCATTTACAACTGTTCATGTCTCCCTGGTGGTTCAGATAGAAGACTTACATAATACTTTTTTGAATGAAGATAAATGAACCATGTCAAGTTAACAATAACACAGTATAGTTTAAATATAGGTAGATTCTCTGACAAAAGTGGAACAAATCCAGATGCAACGTGCTGGATTCCCTGAGGATGAAAAATAAAGTAGAAAGCTAGGTGATCCAAAATAATAGAGGAAGCTTATTGGTGTTAGAAAATGACTGCAAAATGAATTGATTCCTACATATGGGATACCAATAACAGCTGGTCGGCTCTCACCACCAGATGGAGTCTAAACTTAAATCTATGTTAAGATATGTTTAAAGGTGCATTATATTATAACTTGATCGAACTTGTCATTGATAATGTTATTGGTGATGGATTTATATTTTAGATTTGAACAAAAAAAAAATACATTGTTCCCCTCTCTAGAATCATCTTTAGAATAATGTCCTTATTCCAACTGGTAATATTTAAATTTTATCTACAATTTATTAAATTCTCATCCAACATTGTACATTGATTTGGAGTAAAGTTGAATAGCTTGGTGGTTAAGGTGCCATGCCTTCCAATCCCAAGGTCCTGGGTTCAATTCCTATCAGTGTTGCAGGATTGTTTCTCATGACAATACACCTCCACTCCCTGAATCACATATTCAGATTTAGTTTGTATAAAGCATCATATATGTATATGTTTGACTTGAGGAAGGATTGTCACCTGCAAGTAGGAGAGTGATATATTTACTCGGTGCATACAGTACCATGTGTTTTGTACCAAAATATATTTTTAAAAAAAAACAAAAAAACAGATTAATAAAAAGATTGAATGATTAACCTTCAAAAATCAAGAGTTGTATTGCTAAAGCACATTTATTGTCATTTGGAAACAGGCTCGGTGAGCATATGATTTTATTTGTTTTTTTTTTTTTTAATGTAACCTAGGCCTAATTTCCGGTTCATTGCCAACAATCACTAACCGCCTACATTTTTGTTGTTAAATGGTATCTACAGGGCTGAAGTCAAGCTTGAGAAGTGGCTTTTGAAACACATTATTCTAGTATTTTAGGCTCCTTGGTAATTTTTTTTTTTTTGGACAAACCGACCTGAAATTTTTAAAAGAATTTAACACGTTTTTTTCCCATACACCAAGGCAAGAACATTGCCACCGTATTGAAAATCATTCCCATGAACTTTTCCCGTAATGAAATGCCAACAAACATGCGGTAGATCTAGTATTAATTTTTAGATCATTACTCGCTTCTCTGTTCTTTCCTGAGACAACATGGCAAGAGTGTGTGTTCTGGGGACCACTACCTGCGAGTTAACTGTATGTGCAACACAATAATAGTGTGTTTGGACAGACGTGGATGTGGAGCCCCATCTTTGACACCTTGAGTGAACCCTATAGGATGTGAACTCACCTACCTGTCAGCGAACATGTTCAGTTGGCCAGACTTTCTGAGGATTCAACTCATGATTGTCTTAAGAGCTCAGAACCTAACAACTTGACTACCTACCATGCTGTTAGTACTTCAAATGTGACAGTAACATTCGTTTTATGTATTACCGCCTACATATTGAGATGATGAATTTAATTTCAAACATATCCTGTTTTTGAGAAATAAAATATTATTAAACCAATCTTCCCATGAAAAACCTGTGCACATGTCTATCTGAATCAAATATTATTATGCTGTTTGACTATCACACATGTAAATTTGAACAAGACTTTCACAGAATGTATTAAATCTTGCTAAATGCAGTAGAACCATTTAAAGAGTAACCTCTGGGACACCTTTCCTGTAATAATAGGGGTTTCCCTTTAGAGGTGTCCCCTTAATGACAGTGTCGGAAAGGAGGAGTTCAACTATATTTCATTCTTTCAATTGTGCATGTCAAATATGTCTAAGTATATTTCAATTTTAGGTTACAAAATAAATTAGAAAAAATGATTAATTTTATATCATGATAAAAATTCCTGTAGCAAAGAAAACACATTATAAGCCATTTAAATATTTTACTTCAATTTTGTTCACAAGTTGTATTTTTGAAAAGTCCCGTGAAGTGGGTCGCCTCAAATTACCTGGACGTTTCCGAATAGATCCTTGAAAAACCCTCAAAAACCAGAAAGGTAGGCTTTCATCGTATAAAATTAATCTGCAAAAAGGTATTTGAATGTCAATTAAAATTTTAGTTTTAGCGCAAGTCCTGTTGTTTGTTTCCTGTAGTTTACGTCTAACACATACTTAAGCTCCGGCTTACAATAAGTGTCGCCATTTGCTGTGATTAAATAGTTATGCAAGTGAAAATAAATTGAGATTGAGATTTAAAGTTAGTGAAGTATAAATAAAGTTTAGGAGTTTATACAGGTGTTTGACTGACTGAATATAATTTTATGCCTTTTAGAGAATTGGACTATTTTTATTTCTGGCTAAAGTCACAGGTCCAATTACGCAACTTAGGTGCAGTTTTTGGGCTCCTACAGTACATTTTTGAATCTATTTACTTTATTTTTGTTTTTCTTTTATAAATTGGATTAACCAGAAGTTGTAGATTGGGTGTATGAAAGTGATGCACTAGATTTTTATAGTGATGTATATTGCTCTTGGTAGCTTCTATGAACATTTCCTATCTGTGCTAAAAGTTGGGATGCAAATAATCCAAGGATTAGCAAGGTTTTAAAGTTTCTGACATCAGGAATTAGGTGAATATTCCTTAGACATGAATTACAAGTCCCGTATCCTGTGTGTGGCGGATCACTAGACCTACTGAATGTTGATGACTGATGACTAGTTCGTTTCTCTCCTTAACTCAGTAATGTGCAGTTTTAAACTCCAAACGTCAGACCTTAACTTGAATAATTTATCTGAATTTTAGAATTTCCTGCCTACTGCAGAATGTTAAGAGCTACTGAAGAATCCCTTCTATATGTACCCCAGGGAATCATAAGTAATCCAATTGGATTTAGATATGATGATGGCATATTTTATGTATTTGAATCCATGTTGACATAAACAATTTTTGAAGAATTTTAGATTGTCCATAAAATCGTGAACATAGTAAGTTATTTACATCTTTAGCTTTAATGGTAAACCTATAAAAAAAAATAACAATTTTGCAGATACTCTATTGAACATTATGGACAATATAGTATCAAAACTCATTGAATTTATTTTCTACAATAATTGAATTAGTTTTCAGAATCTAAACTGTCTAATAATTCTTCTTTCTGGAATGGTGTTTCTGTTAATGGTGTTAACTGCAAAATTAAAAATGTATGTTACAAATTTGATATTTTTTTTATTAATTTTTCATAAATTAATCATTGCATTATGCATAATTTTGCAATAATTCCATCTAATATTGATTATTAATGAATTTTTTCTATAACTTTATATAAAAATATGTAATATTTTGCACAAGTATTAAACACACAGATATTTAATGATACGAATCCATATTGTGTATGATGTAACATTTTCCTATTAAGTCTCATTAGACCTAGTTATCTGGAACTGCAAAATGTTTTCAGATAAACATGTACCAGCAAAATATGCAAAACATGAGAGAAGTGACAATTTTTAATATGCACTAAAGCTAATGACAGCATTTTTATCTCTATGACAGCTTGTCATATAAGTTATAATATACAACAAACAGTATTATAGCATTGGCTAATATGAAATAATATGTCTGTTTGTAAAAATGATTCATATCCTGATTTCCAGGAGAAAGTTAGCAGCCCAGAGCAAGCTGCATGTTAACTAAAAGGTCCAAAACAATCTCAACCTAGAGCAAAAACAAAAATTGCAACATAATCAGATTAGAAGACCCTGTGGTAGTATAAAGACCTGCAAAAAGATGGTATGGAACAAATGATAGAAAACAAATGGTACAGAGCAAGTGACATAGAATGACAGATGAAAAAAGAAATGGTGCAAAATAAATGACATAGAATGTAAGATAGAAAACAAGCGGTGCAAAACAAATAACAAATTGACAGGTAGAAAAAAAGTGGTGCAATCAAATGACATAGAATGTGAGATAGAAAACAAGCGGTGCAAAACAAATAACAAATTGACAGGTAGAAAAAAAGTGGTGCAATCAAATGACATAGAATGTGAGATAGAAAACAAGCGGTGCAAAACAAATGACATGGAATATGAGACAGAAAACAAGCAGTGCTGAACAAATAGTATAATGACAGAAAAGAAATGGTGCAAGTGGTATAAACACATGGCACAGAGTGAGAGAGACATGGTGCAAAACCAATATGGTATCCTAATTCAAATGTACAAAAATAGCGGTGCAAAATAAATGGTTAGTAGTGATCCATTAGTAATTGCAAATGGTGTTAGCAGTCAGTCCTTGCTGGAGAAAATTATAAAATAACAAGTAGAGCAAAGAAGAAAATTCCATGGCGTAATTGAAAGAAGAAAAACACTGTAAAACATGCGGCCGGCAGTGATTGACATGTTGAATTAGTGCAGATTAAGCAATAAAAAAAAATAGTGCTAAGTAACAAGAAATACAAAGCAAGTTATTTTACTATTGATATATGAACTGTGGTAGCTGAACAATAGCAAAAGAATTGGTTTAAAGTCTGTGAATGAATACAAACTCAAGAACAAACAAGAACTTATCAAACCTATAACAAACAACTCAAATCAAGCAAGTGCATAAACTAAACATTAGAAAAAAAAATTAAATAAACCTGTTAGAGTAGATTTAAGTTGCAAATGTGTTATGGGTTAATTGTGTTCAGTAAATGCTACGTTAAATGCACATAACAGTTTTCTTGTAGCGAGAGAATTTCTTGTAAAATAATTTAAAATGACATTTTGATAATTGTTGGGGTTTGAAGAAAATAAATTATTGTTAATATGCATGGTTTTTTTTTTTTTTTTTTTCCAAATATATTATATACCATTTAGCAGTAAATATGATAGTTCATCTGTATCATAGACATGGGCTTACTATATATATATAGCATAATATGTGAAATCATACATACGTTGATTTGTTCTTTTTTTTTTTACAGCTACTTGTAGTACCGGTGTTTGTTTTAATGGCGGTACGTGTACCGGAGGCTACTCGCAATCTTGCCAATGTGCGACAGGATTCCAGGGACCAAGATGCCAGTACGGTAAGTCCAATCACAGTTCACCATAAGTTTGAAAAGTATGCTCCCAGAGGGCGTACGTGTCTACTGCTGACAAGAGTTCCGCGGAACTCTACTACTGACTCATATTTTCTATGTCTAACAATAATGTAGTTTTTAGTCATGATTTGGCAGTCGTTTATTGCACAGGTTTTAGCCCAGGCCTATGATAGTTTGAAGTAAAGCTCCATAGGGCTGCCTTCATTGAGCCTGTAATGTATTGTAGCTCTATCATTCTTTTAAAAAAAAGGTTATGAATGTGTTTCTTTTCAAGGGCTTTTGGTATTTCTATGTAGATTAAAGCCCATTTCACAGCAAAATTTCATTTTTCAAGAAATATCTAATTTTATATATGCTAGAACAATTTATAAATATAATATTAAATAAAAAGAAATGCAAAATAAGACTCAAATTTGATTTTTTTTTTTTGTGTTCAACACAAAAAATAAACGTGGACGAATTTTTTATGTTTGATTTTGCGATAAGTCTAATCTATTGGTAACGAAATTAGGTGCCGGAAACATTAGCCTAGCAACACTGATTTAGGTTCTGTTTTCAGATATAAAAATGGCTGATATGTTATTTTCCGTGGCTATTATTGACGTGTGAAATACATTTTTATTGGAATTATTTCAAACTTTAAAAAATGATTCTGAGATTTTGACAATTAAACAAACATATCTCAGGCCTACTCGATTGACCGCATTGTACAAAGTGCGAGGTATGAAAGCTAATGTCATTAGAGAGGGCGCAGTTTATTTATCGCTTACTATCGTATCGGCGACGTAAACAGTTTAGTAAATCAGATTAATTAAAGCTTTTATTTGATTAAATGTGGGATGAATTAAAAAATAAATGACCTGGTTTATAGTAATTAGAGTAATGCATGTTTTTTCAGATTTTTAGGCTTTTTAAGGAATAGGGCTTTAATTTGATTTGTAAACAAATAATCATAAATGGCATTTGTATCACTGAGGCATTCATCGTTTGTCACTCATGTTGTCGTCTGTTTGTCGAGGTATATTTGCAAAATATATATTCCTGAGCACCGATTGGTTTCCGATGGTTACTCATACTACATTTAGGAAAACAGAGATGATGAAAAGATGTCTAGTTGTAAAAACAAACTTTCAATTCACTTCATGTTCAAAGTTAGAATGACATTTTTTCTCTCCTGATTTTTTGACTTTAAAAATGGAGTACAAAGCTGGCCACAGATAAAAGATTATTACACTCATATTAGAATTGGTTGTTTGCTAAACCTATGCCAAATATGCCTAGCAGCTGTTTGGTGATATTCATTGCTCGGGAGGTAGAGTACCTTCAGGGAGTTCATTCCTTCCCTGGTTGCCAGGGACAGTTGTTGGGTTGTTTCCTCTCCTGAGGGGGTAAAGTCATAAATATGCTGGTTGTGGCTGGATATCCTCAAATTATGTTGAATGGAAAAGCTGTTTTCAGTCAATTGAGGGAATATTTATCAAAGAAGTTACTAATTTAAACAAATACCGGTATACTAAAAAAAATTACCATAATGGATACTGCAGATTGCATATGGCAGTGATTTTGTTAAAAAGAATAGATAAAAATGAATCAAAGATAATTATCTTTGCTTATATTAACATGTTCGTTGACAAGCAGTAAGTTGTGACAAAGTTCTTTTCCTTTTGCAACAAAAAGTTTAAAAGGGCGCCACCTAGTAGGCGTATTCTCAGTTGTATAGAGTAATGTACTACTAATAAAACATGTTTCAGTTTGGTTTGGTTATTACATACCTTCCTAAGCTGGTGTGCCTGTGTAGTTGTGGCAGAGCACCATACACAATACAGAAAAATAGTGTTTTTACAGGTATGCTCATTGTAACCCATCTGCAACAATCTATTTTGGACAAATATTGTCATCCAGCATATATAATATGAAATAAAATGTTTTTCCTTTGATAGAACAATAAATAATATAATTGAACCCAAAGATACTAAAAAAACTGACATAAAAGTAATGCAAATACCCTCCAAATAGGTCTACGCATTCCTTTAAGACGCAATATAAAAAATATCTTCTATAAAATGTAGGCCTATTATGATGATTAAAAACTGTTATACCTATGTGGAAAGTTAGAAGTATGTTGTAGGAAACTAAAAAGACTATATTTTACTGCAAAAATGCCTGAAGTTTGCTAACTATTCGTGGCATTGGAACACATAAAAGGCTCAGTTAACTTTGCACCGTATTACTGTCTCACTGAAATCAACTAAATTCGGTAGTATTATGGATTAAAATTTGTTCTACAGATAAACTAGATTACATTTTTCTGGAGTATAAGCGAAGTTATTTAAAACAATTTTTCAAAATGTAGTGTGGATGGCGATTAAAGTTATTGTAATGACGAATATGCCTGTTAATGATGCTTTATTAAGTGAACGTGTTGGCGCCTCGTTTGTAGCAATCTTATTTATGGTGTTTAAATGTAGACTGACTTCTTGTCTATATTATAATTTAGATAGGCAGGATACATGGGCTCTATAGTTTACCAATGTAGTCCCCAAGCTCTTTACATACTCCTACAAAGAGCAATTCCTTCTGTTTGAAGTTATAGTGACAGTTGCACTGGATGCTATTTTGCAATATACCAAGTCGATGGAAGGATGTTGTTAACATGGCCTGATGGAAACCTTTCTAAAAAAAAAAACAAGAGAAAAGTGAAAACTACAGTTTTGGTATTATCAATAGTACTAATTCACAAACTTTTTTTTAACTTGACAATGAAATTATCATCCCTAATTCAGTGGTATGATAGAGGGCGCTACATTACTAAACTATGCTATTTTCACAATAGATATTCAAGTATTTTTAATGGGTGGCCATATTTGATGCTCTCCTTCAGAGAGTAAAACAAAACTAAAAGCCTTCTCCAAATAAGCTATTTTCTTTTTTCGATTTTATATTCCATAGTACCAGTGTAAATTTTTAAGCATTTCTAAACAAAAATCTCAAACATCATCACCTCTGTATTTGGTGTTTTTTGCACATCACATGGACCCTCCCAGATTTTAATCTTGATTAACCCCTGATCAATAGTCTTTAAAGTGTGAGTTCTGCCGTTACTGTATTTGTGTTGTTTGAAATGCTAATGACTGCGCAGTTAAAAGTCCTTGGCTACAGCAGCTATTGTTCATCATAATACAAAAGTGTTACCCAATAACTATCTATATAAGTGTCTCTCATTTAAATTAATCAAATGATTGTCAATCAATCAATCAATCAATCAATCAAGCAACCACGACCAAGGCTGTCAGTGAATTATCAGTGCTACAGTGTAATTATCAGATTATTTACACTGTTTACATGGTGAATTAGTGAGAATGTTATACAAGTTGATGAGATTAACAATTTCTTGAATCTAATCTAATTAACACAACACTTGGACAAGTTAATTGTATACATCAGTTCCTCTGGCATAACTCACCCCCCCTCCCCACCCCTTTTGTTTTTGTGGGGCAGGGGGAAGAATGGGATGGGCTTATACTGGGGAATTTTTTAGCATTGCATGCCTAATTCAAAGTCAATTTTTTGATTTTTTTTTTTTTAGATAGTATTTGTAAAATTTAGCTGAGCTACTCATTTAAATCATACCCTGGGTCTTTTTCCCTGAGGATTGGCTTGCATGTAAAATGGGTGTAATGTAGGGAGATGGGCTTATACCCGAGAAACTATGGTATTGTACAAAAAAAAAGTGATAAAATCATCATGTTGAAGCTATTTTTTGGCCCTCCCAATATGTTGATATACTGTAATAATTTTAAATTTTGTAAACGGCAATAAAGAAAGGAAAAAAATAAGAGAGTTGATTTCACCTTTGAAACTCTAGCCAGCATACTTTCTTAAATTCATTCCCAAAGGGGCAAGTGATCTGCTTGGTAGTGTTGATATGAGGCTATCAAAAAGCTATATCAATAACTCACACATATGTCTACATCAATCTAACTTTATGTGATATGGTGGCCTATACCCTGGCTCTCAGAATCAACAAGAAACTGTATTTTCAACATGCAAGTTTTAATTTCATGGAAATCTATGGGATGTTGTTTTAAATTTTGTTTGCTACATCAGACTGTTTAAAGGGCTTGTTTGACCTTGTCTACAGTATGTTTGTTTTCTTTTTTATTATGCCTGTGTGGTCTGCAATATATTGCACTAATTAAGATATCCTTAACATTTCAACATTGCCAAAACATAAATATCAAATAATTGGGATTTGGAACTTTCCTGTTATAAATTATAATGTCTTCATTCCATGATATGTATGGGAAAGCTAAGGAACACTTGATAGTCCAGCAACCAGAAATAAGCCCATTTTAATAAAACAAATTTAATATTTTTGTGGTTATTAAATTTAAATTTTTATTGGTTGTTAAATTTTGATTTTTTATTCCCAAATTGGAAGAGTCTACTTTCATAAGCATGGTCATCTGTTAGACAATTGATAATACAGTAGTGAAATTAAAAATAGTTAAACATGCGAATATTGTGAATTATGAGTTATTTTCCAGGAGGTTCTTGTTGCTTGCACTATGCTGGAGTGCGGGAGGCCTTTGGGGAGATTCCCATGACTTCCAAAAGACTACGCTGTGTCGTATCTAGGGTGCGCAAGGGGTACACGTCCCTTCAAAAATTACTCGGGGGGCCCCACAAAAATTATGGTCAAGTAGTTAAAAATCACTTAATATCACCATATTTTACGAGTTAGCCCCCCTCAGCTGATTATCCAGCCTCCGCACTTCAACTTCGAGTCCCCCCCCCCCCCCACCCATCAGCACCCCCACTTTAAGACTCCTAGATATGCTACTGGACATGAGACCCCTGATGTATAATTAGTGCTTGTGGAACAAACATAATTAGTAATTATCCCCTTTAATGAAATAAGTAGTGTATTATGACTGTATGAGAATTGGGGCCTAGAAGATGTCATACTATGTTATCATTTAACA